GTGGCCGGGCTTGCCACAGCGGAAGCAGAGGCGCTCCTGGAAGCGGCGGTTCTTCTCCTCGGGGGTCAGGCGGCTGACGACGGCGGCGTCGATCTGCATCGGCTCGGAGTAGAGAACCGGAGGCTCCTGGGCGGGCGGCTGGAAGGACGGGGTGCGGGAGTTGAAGGCCTGGGTGCCGAAGGAAACAGGGCCAGTGTTTCGGAGCTCGTTGTTGAGCTCGATGATGCGTGCATCGATCTTGAGGCAACGCTCGACGAACGGGACCAAGCGGAGAGGGAGAGGGTCGATGAAGGAGAGGCGCTGCTTGATCTCCCTCGACAGGCCACGGCGGAAGGCGGAGATCTTGGCTTCGTCGTTCCAGGGAAGGTCGGCGGCAACGCGGAGGAACTCTGAGGCATAATCCATGCACGAGCGGTTGCCCTGTGCCATGGAGGAAAGGAGCAGCTCGGCAGTGTGGGTGCGGTCGGGATCGTCAAACGCTTGGCGAAAGCGTTCCATGAACGAGTCGAACGAGTGCAGGATTTGATCGTTCGACTCGATCAAGGGAGTCGCCCACTGGAGGGCCGGACCAGTGAGCAAACTCAAGACGTAACCCACCTTGACTTGCTCGGACGGGAACCTGGATGCCTGGAGCATCATGAGCAGGCGGCACTGGTTGACGAAGGGGCGGAACTTTGACCTGGTGCCGTCGAACTTGTCCGGGGTCGGCATGTGCGGGAGCTGTGGGGCGGCGGAAGAATGTGTGGTCCGGAGGAGAACCAGTTCCTCCTGGAGGGCAACGATTTGGGCCTGGAGTTGGTCCATGTGGGCTTTGAAAGTGGGGAGCGAGGATGCAGGGAAGACAACAGAGAATAGAAGGATGAGGGCAGCAACGAAGCCTCAGCCAAGCAGGTGGTCAGACAGAGAGAGGGAGTTCGAACAATATGTGAGGACCACGACAAGCAACGACACTGGACGACCAGGTGCTTGGCGAACAACGATAAGCTATATTACGACTTATCAGATAACAACAAGTGTTGTTCGAACTGCAGATACAAAATGGGTGCAAGAAAGGAGGGGCTTTATAGCCAAGAGGGAAACCGAAGGGCGAAAGTGGGCGAGAGGGGTGGAGCGACAAACGAGGGACGAGATGGGGGTGCGAGGGAGGCGGAGCTGCTAGAGAGAGGGGCGAAGCACAGCGCAGTCGGAGGCGAAGTAAGAGTCATCGGCGCCAGCCAATCAGGGAATACACGCCAAGACAAACAAACATGACTCACGGTGCATCACGCGCAGCAGTCCACACGTGTTCCCAACGTGCATGATCATCACATACAATGAGTTTGGCGACGTTTTCAGCCTCAAGTCTGACCCTCCTTCTTCCTTGCCCTCCTCGTCGTCCGTATGACTTGTCTATTGAGTTTGTACGAACCGAGGATGGAAAGGAACCTCGTTTGCCAAAGCCGGGGAAAGTCTATCCTTTGTCCCCGGCCGAGGAATCTGCTCTTTCGGAGTATCTGACCAACGCCCCTCGCACGTGGTTGGATCTCCAAATCCTCTTCTCCCGTTGGTGCTCCCTGCTTCTTCGTGAAGAAGCCCAATGGTGGTCTTCGCCTTTGCGTCGACTACCGGGGCCTCAATGCCATCACGAAGAAGAACCGCTACCCTCTTCCCCTCTTCCAGGATCTTCTTGATAAACTTTCCTCTGCCCGCGTCTTCTCACACCTTGACCTTCCTGATGCTTACCACTTGGTTCGTGTCAAGAAGGGCGATGAGTGGAAGACTGCTTTTGTTTGCAAATCTGGCTCATTTGAGTACAATGTTATCCCCTTTGGTCTTTCGAATGCCCCCGCTGCTTTCAGTTTTTTATGAACGACATCTTCTCGGACCTCCTTGGTGTCTGTGTTGTCATTTATCTTGACGACATCCTGATCTTCTCAAAAGATCCCCAGGAGCATGAGGAGCATGTTAAGCTTGTTTTCTCTCTCGCCTTCGTGAACACTCCCTTAAGGTCAATCCGGCCAAGTGTTCTTTTGACCTTTCTGAAGTTGATTTTCTCGGCATGATCATTTCTGCCGATGGCATCAAAATGGACCCTGCCAAGGTCGAGGCCGTTTCCCTTTGGCCTGTTCCCTCTTCTGCTCGCGATATCCAAGTCTTTATTGGTTTCGCAAACTTTTATCGCCGCTTCGTCAAGGACTTTTCTGCACTTGCTCGTCCTTTGACTTCCCTCACTACCAAATCCTCCACCTTCTCTTGGTCTCCCGAGGCCCAAGAGGCTTTTGATTCTCTAAACGTTCCTTCACTTCCGCACCTATTCTTCGATACTTTGATTTCTCTAAACCCGCTGTCATCGAGCCCGATGCTTCTGACTTTGCTTTGGGTGCCGTCCTTTCTCAGTTTGACCCTGACGGCGCTCTTCACCCCGTTGCTTTTCACTCTCGGCAATTCCGTCCCGCCGAGGTGAATTATGACACTCACGACAAAGAGCTCCTCGCCATTGTCGATTCCTTTACTGCCTGGCGTCATTACTTGATGGCTGCCGACCCCTGATCATCCCACTCTTGTTTCTCTGATCATCAGAACCTTACCCGGTTCACTTCCGCTTCCCAACTTTCTCGCCGCCAGTTCCGGTGGGCCCAATTCCTTTCTGACTTTGCTTTTCGCATTTACCACCGCCCTGGTCGTCTCAACACCAAAGCCGATGCTCTCAGTCGCCGTTCTGACTTTGAGATAAAGCCTGGTGACTCCCTCCACTCCACCAACTTCCTTCAGCTGTTCGAGTCTATTTCTCTCGACAGCATCACTGTTATCGGCTCGAATCCCGACTTTCTTTCCGAGATTCGAGCTGCCACCCTTTCTTGTTCCCTTCCTTTCTGACTTTAACGCCAAACGTCTTGATGGCGATTACTCCTTCCGTGACGGTCTCCTTTACTTTAAAGACCTGATCGTTGTCCCTTCCCCCGAGCTCCAGCTCAAAGTGTTTGAGCAACGTCACTGCTCCGCTGCCGCTGGTCACTTTGGTCTTGCCAAGACCGTTGAGCTCGTCTCCCGGGACTTTCACTGGCCCCGGCTTCGTAAGTCTGTGCGTCGCTTCATTGCTAATTGTGAAGCGTGCCAGCGAGCCAAGCCGTCCCGTCACTCCCCTTATGGTTTACTTCATCCTCTCCCCGTTCCTTCCGAACGTTGGTGGGACCTGTCGATGGACTTCATCACGGATCTCCCACCTTCGAACGGTTTTGACTCGATCTTCGTGGTTAAGGACCGCCTGTCCAAACAAGCACACTTTGTGCCCACCACGAAGACGGTTACAGGCGAGCAAACCGCCGAACTCTTCCTCTCCCACATCTTCCGCTTGCATGGTTGTCCCCGGTCTATTGTTTCGGACCGAGGAACTCAGTTTACTTCGGCCTTCTGGAGGCGCTTCAATGAGCTTCTGAAGACGAAGATTTCCCTTTCTTCTGCCTTCCACCCCGAGACCGACGGTTCGACCGAGGTTCTCAACCAGGTCATCGAGCAGTATTTGCGTATCCATTGCAATTACCTGCAAGACGACTGGACCCTTCACCTTCCCCTTGCCGAGTTCACTTACAACAACTCGGAAAACACCTCCACTGGCATGACTCCCTTCTTTGCAGTCCATGGCCATCACCCCATTTTCGATCCCTCTATCATTCGTGATCCCTCTGTTGTGCCCTCTGCCGAAGAACGTGTCGACCGACTTCAGACCGTTCTCGAGGATCTCAAGGCCAACCTCCGGGTTGCCCAAGAGTCCTACACTGTGCAGGCCAACAAATCCCGTCTCCCCACTCCCGACATCTCCGTTGGCGACCTCGTTTTTCTGGATCGTCGCCACATTCGCACCCTTCGTCCCTCCAACAAGCTTGACCAGAAAAAGCTTGGCCCCTTTAAAGTTCTTCGCCGCATCAACCCCGTTGCCTTTGAGCTTAAACTCCCTTCCACACTTAAAGTTCACCCCGTTTTCCATGTATCCCTCCTTGAACCCCGAACGAAGGACATTGTTCCCGAGTTCACCCAACCAGAACCACCTCCCATTCTTGTTAACTCCCAGGAAGAGTTTGAGGTCGAGACTGTTCTCGATTCTCGGCTCTTCCGTGGTCGCTTACAGTACTTGGTTCAGTGGAAGGGCTATTCCGAGACTGACCGGTCTTGGGAGCCCGCTGCCAATGTTTCCCACGCCACTGATCTTGTTGCTGACTTCCACCTTCGCTATCCCTCAAAGCCGAAGGCGACGTCCGGAGTTCGTCGCTAAGGAAGGGGATGATGTTAGGGATAGCTCCTGCTTGTTCTCCACTTTGACTGCACACTTGGCTAGTTCTTTTGCCTTTCTGTTTGTTTGTGTGTAGCCTTGCAGTTCCCCTCCGATTTTCCGCCTTTTGCCTGTCTTTTCCGCTCCTTCCGCACTTCCGTTTTCCCGCGCTGCTCCGCTTCCTTTGTCTTCTTCGCACGCGCCGGTTTGTTTGTGCACGCGCCTTGCTGCGATTGGTTGCAATTCGGCTGCCGGTCATGTGTCCCCCCACCGGTGACTCATGACCTGCCTGACCGCCCCGATCTCTTGTTCATCTCGCATGCATTTGCCCCAACCTTATACTTGACCAATCCGCTTCTTGGACGTTGAGTCACATTGCTTCGCCTTTGCACGTTTCTCCTGCCAGGTGCTTCGCTTTTGCTTGCGCCTCTCTCGCTTTGGTTCTCTGCCTGTCTCGGTGGTCCTTCTCGGCCCTCGTTCGTGCATCGCCCCCTTCGCCCTGCTCGATCGCCCACTTTTCCCTCCCTTGGCCGCCCTTCGCTGCCAAGTCCGGACTTGTCTATAAATAGCCTGACCCCCGCGATGTGTAGTCGAACCTTAGCGTTCAAAATAGGACTAAATAAAGTGCCTTCTACTTTATTCTCTGAGTGTTCCTCACGTCTCATTTCGAGACAAGTCTTATCTTGAACGGATCTTTGCTTCCCTCGCTCCCTCTCCGAGTCCACTTCGGACTCTACCCTTGCTTTCCCTGAGCTCACTTCGAGCTCACTTCTTCTTTTGCCGTTGAGTCCCCTTTGGACTCTAACAGGAGCGGGTACATGAGCAGCAAGTGATCCAAGTGCGGGAGGGGTGCGACTGCGAGGGGGAGTGCGATCGAAACTGAGCAGGTCCAGCAGCTTGTCCACTGGTCCCACTCCGGCTATACCACTTTCCACCCAAGTCGGGTGGGCCGTCTTGAGGGCTGCGACCTTGCGGACCAGGACTTGATGCGGATCCACACACTGCTGTGCGTGGGTCCTGGTCAAGTCGATCCCGGATCCGTGTCGAGCCAGGTTCTTGCACTTGCGGTAGCCAAATCTGAAGTGGCCTGGGAGAGCACCGAGTCGCCATCGGACCATGAACATGAGCATGATCATGGATCCTTGGTACCCGCGAGCCTCCCAGAGTCCCGACATCTTGGTCGACGGGGTGCAGGCGGCGGTGAGCTGCTTGGAGCGGTCGAAGCCGTTCTTCATGTGGTCCTCGAAGATGAGGGTCTTGATCGGGACGGGCTGGGGTCGGGGCGGTCCGGGCGGCGGCGGCTGGTGTCGGGTCTTGCCTCGGTAGATCTCCGTGGCCGTGAGGGAGTGGTCGGCCTCTTGTCGGCGGATGTGATGACCAGCATCACAACGGACCAATGAGATTGTCCCGCATGCTCTCGCCCTCCGCACCAATCATGAGTCCCCACGTGTTTGTTTGCCCCCATGCATGAGCACGCGCCGTTGCCACCCGCGTCTACTGGTTTCCTGCCTCCCCCACCGCTCGGCACATGTCCCCGGGCTGTGCCAAGCCTCTCTCGCTTGCACACCAGCCACTCTCGCACCCCCTTCTCGCTTCTCTGTGATGCTCCACCCTTCTCGCCCACTTTTGCCCCTCGACCTTCTCCCGGTCTATAAATAGCCCTGCATGTCTGAGCCTATGTTGAACACCAGTTCGAACAAAACTTGTTCTTTGGTGTTCGGGGCTAAAAGCTAATAAAGCTCATACCAAGCACTTGGTCTTCGTCCTTGCGCTTGTTCACTCCTTACACTTTGTTCGAACTCTCTTCTACTGATACCACCTGCTTGGTATCTTCCGCTCCTAGCCCCGCCCCTTTCCTAGTCCTGTCCGAACCTCAAGCACACTTGTGTCTGAGCCCTCTTCGCTCTCCTGTTCTTGAACCTCCTCGCTTTTTTTTTTTTTTTTTTTTTTTTTTTTTCCCAGTCCCAGTCCCAGTCCCGCCATGGATCCTGCCCTCGTGGACCGCCTCCGTGCCTTGGAGGCCGAGCTCGCCGAGCTCCGGACAGCTCGCGATGCTCCTGCCGCTGGGTACAGCGTGCAGATGCCGGACCGTTACGACGGTAACCGGCAAGGGTTCCGGGCATTCGTAAATCAGTGCAAACTGTATATACGAATGCAGCCCCACCGGTTCCCTGCTGACCCGATTAAGGTCGGATTCGTCATTAGTCTGCTCACTGGACCGGCTCTCCAGTGGGCGACTCCGATGCTTGAGATGGGTGATCCCCGACTCAACTCTTTTGGCGATTTCCTAGAACGCTTTTCCAAAGTGTTTGACGACCCTGATCGGGCCAGGACTGCCGAGTCAGTGATCACCACACTGTCTCAGGGCAACCGCCCGTGCGCAGTCTATGCATCCGAGTTCCTTCGTATTGCCGCCGATACGACTTGGAACGACGGTGCAAAGATCTCGTTCTTCCGACTTGGCTTGTCGGATGATGTCAGAGACGAACTTTCGCGAGTTCGCCCTCTGCCACGAGATCTGGAGGAGTACATCGAGCTTTGTAACGAGCTCGATGCACGAATCCGCGAGCGCCGTCAAGAGCGCCGAAGCACGCCTGCCCGCTACCGGTCTTCCCAGTTCGCCTTTGGTTCCGCCTCCGCTGCCGTTCCCGCCATCGCTCCCGCGCCCGTCCTCGCTCCGCCGCACCCCTCCTACATTGTTTCCGAGCCCATGCAAGTGGACTCTGCCGTCTCTGGACCCCTGACCGCCGAGGAGAAACAACGCCGCCGCCGCTTTGGACTCTGCCTGTACTGTGGCAAGAAGGGCCACTTGGTACGAAACTGCCCCGTCAAGTTTGGATCTACCAGAGCTACCGGACCGCCCCCTGGACCTCCCGGCCCGAGGATCATCCGCACCATCGTTTACGAAGATGGAGAAGTGCAAGACTTCAGTTCGGGAAACGACCAGGCCCGGTTCTAAGTGAAGGCCTTGAACCGGAGCCGTGCCCACCGCCTTCCGAAAGTGAAGACATTGGTAAGGTGCCTTTGGTAAGTACTGGGGAAGCAGTGATGTGCGGACAGCTTCGCCTTGCCTCTGGACCGGCGGACACTCTCAGCTCTGGCATAGTACCCGTGGCACCTCTGGTGTCACTGGGAACTGCACCTCATCCACAGGTGCAAATACCTGAGCTGTCCTGCCAACCCTCGGCAAAGTTAACTGTCTGTGCTAGCCGCAACCCTGGTGCCGAAGCTGGTACCGAACCAAAGTCTTGTGTTTCGTCTGTTCGTCGTTGCTCGTTGGTTGTTCCCGTCGCTGTTCGTCTTCCTTCTGGTGATTCTCTGTCGTGCGAAGGACTTGTCGATTCTGGTGCCTCTGGCAACTTTATCGACGAGGACTTTGTTGCTCGACACTCTGTCCCCACCTGCTCCAAGGCTTCGCCCTTGGCAGTGGAAGGCGTGGATGGTAAGCCGCTGTCGTCTGGCCCCATCCTCCGCGAGACTGCTCCACTCGAGGTGATTCTCGGGGACGTCTCGCAACGCCTTCGGTTCGATGTGATCAGGTCTCCACATCAACCACTTATCCTTGGCTTTCCTTGGTTGCGCACCGCCGAGCCCAAGATTGTCTGGTCTCGCGGTCTTCTTTGTCTCCCTCCTTCTGTTGATTCCGACCCCTCTCCATGCACTACTTCTCTTTCGTCTTGCTCCACTTCCTCCAATGTCACTCCCCTTCTTGATGATTCCACTCCTTTGATTGATCTAAGCTCCTCTCCTACGCTCCCACCTTCGTCTTCCCCTTCTTGTCTTGTTCCTCCCGAACCCCTTCGCTCTTCCCAAACCCCTTCTTCTGTTGTCAGTTCTCTTTCCCTCCTTGATGTACCTCCTCCTGTTGTTTGTTCTTCGGACATTGTTCAGAATAAAGTAACCGTCGAACATTATTCTGACCTTGTCCACGCCCCTCCTCTCAGCTCGGACGCTCCTCTCCGCGTCTGCAGCATTGATTACCGCTCGATGCGCGAGTCTTTGGATGCATGCAGGCATGGAACGCAACCCCTGACCATCTTTCAGGTCCATGTCCTGCCCACTGACGAGCCGAGCACTGCGACTGTCGAAGTGCCTGCGGAGTACAAGGACTTCCTGTCTGTTTTCTCTAAACAGGAAGCTGACTCCTTGCCTCCGCATCGCCCTTATGACTGCCCCATTGACTTGGAGCCGGGCAAGTCGCCAAAGTTCGGGCCTCTGTACTCACTGTCCGAGCCCGAACTTCACGCTCTGCGTGACTATCTCGACGAGAATCTTGCCAAGGGATTCGTTCGTCCTTCGTCGTCCCCAGCAGGCTCACCAATCCTCTTCGTCAAGAAGAAGGACGGCTCACTTCGTCTTTGCGTTGACTACCGCGCACTGAACGGTATCACGGTAAAGAACCGTTACCCTTTACCGCTGATCGGCGAGCTGCTGGACCGACTTCGAGGCGCGAAGGTGTTCACTAAGCTGGACCTTCGTGGAGCCTACAATCTGCTGCGCATCCGCTCCGGGGACGAGTGGAAGACAGCTTTCCGTACTCGATATGGGCACTTCGAGTACTTGGTGATGCCCTTTGGGCTCACCAACGCGCCAGCGACGTTCCAGCACTTCATCAACGACGTCCTGCGCACCGAGTTGGACCAGTTCGCAATTGCGTATCTTGACGATATCTTGATCTACAGTGCTGATCCGTCGCAGCATGTAGAGCACGTCAAGCAGGTCCTCTCGAAGCTCCGAGCTGCAAAGCTGTATTGCAAGCTGGAGAAGTGCGAGTTCTCCAAAACCTCGGTCTCGTTCCTTGGTTTCATGGTCTCGCCCGAGGGCATCGGTATGGAGCGATCCAAGCTCTCTGCGATCTTGGATTGGCCCATACCGCGCAACATCTCGGATCTTCGATCCTTTGTCGGGTTTGCGAACTTCTATCGACGCTTCATCGATGGATACGCAAAGATCGCGGGGCCCATGACTCGGCTCTTCCGGAAGACGCATGGCTTCCAGTGGTCCCGCGAAGCCGATAAAGCATTCAGATCCTTGAAGGATGCCTTCGTTTCGGAGCCCGTTCTGGTGCATCCGGACCCATCCAAGCCGTTCGTCGTAGAGTCAGATGCGTCGGACTTTGCGCTTGGATGCGTGCTCTCCCAGCGGGGTGCTGATGATCGCCTTCATCCTTGCTCGTTCCATTCGCGGACACTCTCGAATGCTGAACGTAACTACAGCATATACGAGAAAGAGCTGTTGGCGATCAAGGAGGCTTTCGAGGCGTGGCGACACTACCTCGAAGGCGCCCAGCATCCCGTTGCCGTTCTGACCGATCACAAGAACTTGGAGTACCTGGCAACGGCTCGCATCCTAAACCAGCGTCATGCACGGTGGTCCCAGTTCTTGTCTCGGTTCGACATCCGCATCCAGTACCGTCCTGGTGCGAGGAACGGCAAGGCCGATGCCCTGTCTCGTCGCTCGGACTACATCCCTTCGTCGGCCTCCGTGTCGAGGGATCCGCCTCTGCTTCTCGATCCTGCCGCGGTGATACGCGTGCTCCGAAGCAGAGACGCCCGCTCTTCGGTTGCAAGTCGCAGTGACCCTGTGGATTTGCTGCAGCTCATAGCCGAAGAGCAGGCTCGGGATCCCGGTCTAGACAAATACCGTCGTGACCCGAAGTTCGTCTGGAATGGCCAGTACCTCACCTTCCAGAACAGGATTGTGGTCCCAGAGTCGTGCCGAGTTCCGGCGCTCAAGTCGTGCCATGACCCAGTCGCTGTGGGTCATCCAGGCATCCGACGGACTCTGGCTCTGGTATCGCGACAGTTTTGGTGGCAAACCTATCGGAAAGATGTCAAAGAGTACGTCTCGACGTGCGACACCTGTGCACGCTCGAAAGCTCCGCGACACAAGCCGTTTGGGTTCCTGTTGCCACTCCAGACAGCCGATCGACCCTGGGGGACACTGACCATGGACTTTATCACTGATCTGCCAAAGTCCAAGGGTCACACCTGCATCTTTGTGGTGGTATGCAGCCTCACAAAGATGGCACACTTTATGTCCTGGCGTTCACTGCCGTCGGCGGAGGAGACTGCGTCACTGTTCCTCGACAATGTCTTTCGTCTCCATGGCCTCCCCGACACAGTGGTTTCAGACCGAGGAAGTCAGTTCACCTCTCGGTTCTGGAAGGCACTCTGCACGCAGCTCGGGATCCAAACCAGTCTGTCCACGGCCTTCCATCCCCAGACCGATGGACAGACTGAGAGGGTCAACCAGGTCATCAACCAATACCTGCGCTGTTACACGTCGTATCAGCAAGATGACTGGGCCGAGCTGCTGCCGTTGGCCGAGTTCTCTTACAATAACCTCGAGAACTCGTCAACACATGCCTCGCCATTCTTGGCAACCTATGGGTTCCACCCAAGGTTCGAAGTCCCCGTTGTCGCTGGCGGCCCTGA